AGATATTTCACCAATGTAAAATTTATCGCATTCACAGGGTATTTGGTATATTACATTTTTTGTTTGTTGTTCTGTATTGATTGGTTTAGTATGTGATAAAATGGATCTAAGTGTATTTTGTGTTTTGAAAGATGTTCGTATGTTATATTGTTTTCCTATCCTTCTTATTTTTCCGAAACGCCTCGTGTGTATGGAATTGTAAGTTGTATATATATTGTGTATTGTTATCATTGTGTCTATGATTTGGGGCTTGTATTTCGTTTAATGTTTTGTCAATAAAATATGGTGGATAGTCGTTTTTGATTAATGTATTTTTTATGTGGTTTATATCTCTATTTAATGAAATGTTGTCTGTACATATTATTTTTGTCCTATCATATAAACCTTTTATCACACATTTTTTTACACTTATACTGTGATTAGATGTGAAATTTAAGTATCTATCTGTGTTTGTGGGTTTTCTGTAAACATCTAAAATTAGTTTATTTTGAAACTTTGACACTAAAACATCAAGAAATGGCAAACGATTACCTCTCTCTACTTTTAATATAAATTTTATGGTAGATTCGCGAGAATTTATATAATCCAAGAAAATGTCTATTTCAGAAAGGTTATGTTGCCATATTGCAAAAATATCATCAACATAACGCAGCCATATTACAGGCTTTTTTGAAAAACTATTTATTGTATTATTTTCAAAATCTTCCATAAAAATATTACTTAAAAAAGGAGAGAGAGGTGATCCCATTGCCATACCGAAATCTTGTTGAAAAAATTAATTATTTAATTGGAAATAAGTAGTTTTAACACAAAGTGTCAACAATTCCAAAATACTATCTATGTTTAATTTTGTTCTATCTATTAAATGTGTATCTTGTTCTAATCTATCCCTAACTATTTTATTGTTTTATCTACCGGCACGTTAGTGAAAAGACTAACAACGTCAAAACTAACCATTAAACTGTTACTGTTGTTTTGTTTCATTTATCTAAAGAAGAGAACATTCGATCAAAGTGTACTACCAGTCATGACCTATGCATGCGAAACTTGGACACTTAACACAGATATTATAAGGAAACTGCATCTGTACTGCATATGTATCTTTAAAATTATAATTTTGAGTGAATGTCATATAAATTAATCAATAAAAAATACATTAATAAAAAGCGACTATCCACAATATTTTATTGACAAAACATTAAACGAAATACAAACCCCAAATAATAGACACAATGATAACAATACACAATATATACAACTTACAACTCCATACATACGAGGCGTTTCGGAAAAAAATAAGGATAGGAAAACAATATAACATACGAACATCTTTCAAAACACAAAATACACTTAGATCCATTTTATCACATACTAAACCAATGAATACAGAACAACAAACAAAAAATGTAATATACCAAATACCTTGTGAATGCGATAAATTTTACATTGGTGAAACATCTAGACCCTTAAATGTTAGAATTAAAGAACATAAAGATTATTTAAGAAAGGGAGATTGTCACAAATCTAAGATTTGTCAGCATTCATGGGACACAGGGCACAGAATAAATTTTAATAACGCCAAAATTATAATGAAAGAAGCGATAGTCTCTAAAAGAAAAATAAAAGAGGCTTTTTTAATTCAATCTAATAAAAATAATTGTATTGCTCATGCATCTGTAGATGTTAGTAATGTATGGCAATCGCTTCTTTGATTTTAAAGAACATAACATAAGTAAAAAATTAAAAATAATCATACAGAAAGTTTGGAGCTTTTTGGTTTTACCTTATTAAGTAATTGTTATCAGATAGTAATTGTTAATTTTGAAGTTTAACTTGATATAATGTCATTTTAACAGAACGTCAACGGTTTTTGTAGACGTATCTGTTTTAAAAAACTAAAATGTTCTCGAATAGTTGAATTTAAATATTTTAAACAGTTTTTTTTCTTTATTCTTTGTATTTTTTTGCTTCCGACGACGGAAAGAGATAAACTTTCCGAAACGTTAAGCGTTTTTTTGTTCGTTAGGCAAATTTGTATATCTGTAAACCTATCTGTTGACAAGTAGTTTCCGTTTGGACTAATGCACAAGTGTTTACAAAAAATAACTATTTTATTTTGTAGATTTTCTTGCAGTGGCGAAATAGCCATATAGGGTTTTTTGGAGAAAATTAATCAGTTACGGCACATTCAAAAATCTCATAAGCGATCTAATTACCAACACGATGGAGTTAATTTCGAAAGTATTGCGAGCTTTTTGTTGTCGCCATTTAGTGTATTTATAGGATGCTAAATATAAAAACGAAGTATTAATAGATACACGTTTATACTGGCTCTTTTAAGCCTCGTATCAGATTTCTTTCCAAACAACATTATGACATTTGAAAATGAAGAATTTTTTCTGAAAAATGACATAATTTAACAGTTTACAAAAAAACAAATTTTTCAGATGCTAATTTATTTTCAAAACATAGTTTTCAATTTTTTCCTTTTTAATATTATTTTTGACAAGTTTATGTTTAATTTTTGATATTTTATTAACAACTATTTACGCGACAGTATAGAAAATTAAATTGTATTAGGAAAATATTCTTGTGGGACATAATTTTTCTTTTGCGTAATATGACTTTTTGAGAAACTTCGAAAAATGAAATAAAAAAAATATATTCTTTGACCCTCTACATTATACAAGGTATACTCACCCGCACGAAAAACGATATTTGTAGCACCTTAAAATTTTCATGTATTTTAAAGTTTTATATATTTGGTTCTAGTGGACCGATTTTAATGATTTTTTAAGCAATTTATACCTATATTATTTGACTTTAGTGTCTTTTTTCGAAATTAAAAACGAAAGTCGTCATCTGTCAATTATACAAGTGAAAACAAAATGTTGATATTTTGGTGTAAGTTTGAAATATCATGTGGAGTGCGTTAATACAGCAACGAATTTAGAAATCATTTTATCATCTAGGGTATCTTTTCTCGATAGTTTTTTTGGTTCATCTCGATAGCTTTGTTTTTTTGGAGATATTCCCTTTATGAATAAGACACTAACATTTTTCGTATTTTTTTACATTAAAACCATACCTTTGATTTTGGTCTTAATTAACAGACCTATAAAATAGAATTTATGATTTATGTAATGCTACTGTCTTTAAAAAATTATATTATTATTGTCTGTTAAGCAGTTACTTTAGCAGAGATGGTTTTAAGTCCAAAAGTTGATCTCTACCATGATCAAATAAAGCAGCAATAGCCGATAGTTCAGGACTTAAAATCATCTGTACTAGGGTAAACGCCAATAAACAATAATAATATGACTTTTCAATGACAGTGATATTACATAAACAATAAACACTATTTTATAAGCGTGTTGATGAGAACTCAAAAGCAAAAGCATGCTTTGAATGCTAAAATCGTTACTGTCTTATTCAAAAGCGAATATCTCCAATAAAAATAAAGCTATTGAGATGAATCAAAAAACAAACTATAATATAGTTTTTAAATGCTTTGCTTTGTTAATATACAAAATCAATAATCCACAGGGTGTTTCAAACTTTCACCAAAATATCAACATTTTGTTTTCCCTCGTATAATTGACATATGGGAGCTTTCATTTTTATTTTAGAAAGAGGTACTAAAAAGTCAAATAATCTAGCTACAAATTGCTTAAAAAATTATCAAAATCGGCCCACTCGAACACAATATATTAAACTTTAAAATACATGAAAATTTTAAGGTGCTCGCGTTTTTCGTGCCGGTCGGTGAGTGTATAACGTCCAATATGAACGCATGTACAATTAATTCTGTACAATTTTTTTTTGTATTTTTTTATATTTTATCACCTAGCTTCACTTTTTGCATATTTGGACAAAAATTTTCTAATTTACCGCCATGACATATGCTGCATGTCAAATGTCAAAATTATTTTTTTGTTATTGGACATGCTGAAGTAATCCTGCATTATTTTTTTCAAATTGAATACTATTTTTCCCCATTTGTTGCGAATTTATGGTACACTCCGTATATTAATTTCGATGCAAAAGTATTTCTTGAGAACATTTTATAGACCAGGAGCCCACATACGATTTAAAAAAATTGTGATATTGTTTTTACTTTTGCAACTACTACTACCGTATGATCGAAAAAAAAAACAGCGTCAGCGATGGCTATGAAATGAAGATCGTTGTCATTTTATATGTAAATTTATATGGGAAATGTCATCGATCGTCATTTCCCAGCCAACTAGACGCCGTTTTTCTTCGATCATACGGTATAATCGGTTGACTTGAAATGGTATGCAAACCCCTAGCCTTTGTTCCTTTTGTAAACTTTATTTAAATGAATGTTTCAGTAAGTACTGTACGATGAAAAAAAACACTGCGTTTAGTTGGCTTGGAAATTAACATCGACGATATTTCCCATTTAATTTTACATATACAATGACAGCGATCATCATGTCATAGTCATCCCTGATGCCGGATTTTTCGATTATGTATATTAAAATTAAGTGTTGATTAATTTATATTAATTTTAATTAAAAAAATATTTTTAATAAGTAATACGCTTGCGGGATATTTTTGGATGTTTTTAGATGATATTTCAAATCTGAAATTATTTAATGATAGTTTGTGTGAAAGATAATGTGTTTAGGATATATTATAGCTAGATTTAGACAATATAATAATAAAAACCTCTTTAAAACTTGAAGTATTTTGGTTACTTAACAGTTTGTACAGGGTTTAACATAAAATAGTTTTTCTTGTTTTAAACTTTTAAATAACAGCTTTACTTCGTAACTTAATGTTCTTATTAAAACTTACAAATAGATTCAACATTTCTTAAGAATTATCTCTCTTTTACTTAGAGGAAGGACAAATAAAAAGAAAATTTATCCGTCTTATGGCAAAAACTGAACTTGTTAGAAATAAAATTATAGATTTTGGTGGATAATTTCCTAGAAAAATAGAAGATTTCTGTAGAAACTTTCTTGACTTACCTCGAAACAAGATAAATAAGATCGACACCGGATCACGCACGCGGTTTCAAAGCGACTAAGGTTGGCTCCAAGCACAAGGTGCTATCAGCTTACGTCGCTCTCCATACCGGGGTACGGTACCCCCACCGAGTACTGCGGGAGACGCCTCGGTGAAAAAGGAGACGGCGCTCGGCGCTGCTCAAAATGTGCGTCGCGACGTCCCTTGCACGAAAGCGAATAAGATCATGGATCTAAATCTCGAAATCGATATTTAAAAAATATGAAAAATATAATATGTAAAACAGGAGAACAGAGCAAAGCAATGGGTTTAAACATTAATATAAAAAAAACACAAAATTTATGATAATATCTGAAATATATGAGTATTGTTATTTTCATGATATAGAAGAAATAAGGATAAAAAAAGGCCTGCGTTGCCCTCTACATGTGTAAAAAATGATAAGAAAAAAGTGAGGACTCCAACCGAGTATGGCTAAGTGGATATACACTGCCATAATGCGACCAATCCTCACATATGGATCCCTAATATGGTGGCCAGCTTTGGAGAAGACAACCAATAATTCCAAGCTCGGAAAGGTACAGAGGAGTGTGAGCCTTACAGGTTACAGGAGTTAAGATCGACGCCCACAGATGCTCTAAATGTGCTCCTCCACCTCCTCCCATTAGATCTTCTTATTAAAGACCTAGCCTCTAGTAGTGCAATCAGGCTCAGAGAAACTGGTTGCTGGACGGGGATACTCTACGGTCACAGCAGTTTTCTTGGAAGATTACCGAAGGATATTATTGCTGGATTATCTGACACCTAGGTTGGAACTTGGCAAGAACTTTCTAGTCAGAATTTCAACCAGAAAGAAGTGGGAGACTTACAAACTACTGAAGGAATTTGATATTGCGCTATTTACTGACGGGTCCAAGATGGATTCAGGGGTAGGTTCAAAGGTGTTCTTGAAGGGTCTTGACATCGCAAGATCTTAGCGGCTTCCAGATAGATCAAGTGTTTTCTAGGCATAGAGATACTTGCCATTTGGAAGGCCTGCGAATGGTTGAGCGAGGAGACACCTTACGGGCGGAAAACGGCAATAATCACTGACAGCCAAGCAGCCATGTCGGCGCTGAACTCATTTACCATATCCTCCAAAATAGTCAAAACAAGTACGACAAGGTATCCTACATGGGAAGTAGGTATGATATAACCTTGCTTTGGGTTCCAGGTTACAGGAACATCAAAGGGAACGAACGCGCTGATGAACTTGCAAAGCGTAGGTTGTGCCTTGAGCTAGATGTATCAGAGGAATTTTTTACTCCCCTCAATACCATAAAAAAGACATTTGCCACCATTTTCTGTCTATGGTGAACAGTAGATGGAAAACTTTAAGCACCTGCAGGACAGCCAGGAAAACTTGGCCCAAATACGACCTTAAGAAATGCCGCTGAAATCCTATGCCGCTGTCCGGATTTGTATAGGACCCGCAACCGTTTCCTCGCTGATTACAGCTTCGTAAATCTTGAAGATGTTGCCGGGAAGAGCATAACGGGAAGTCACCCGTTACCTTAATGCCACCGAATGGTTATAAAGAGTGACGTAGCGTGGGTTAGGAGCGCCCGGGGCGGAGAGCCTCTAGGAAAGAGGTTTGCCGCCCCTACAGAGTCAATCCGCCGCCTTTATAACAATTTTTTGTCGCCCCGCAGTTACATGGAAGGACGCCTAACCGGACCGCCCTCCGCGCCCGCCTTGCTACGCCACTGGTGATAAACAGTTAACAGTCCTTTTCCATCCCTAGGGATAGGGTCTCTAATAATTCTGCTAATTGGAATTCGACAATTAAGACAAAAAAAATATGGCGGAGGTCGACATTGTTGATGGTTGTTTTCATTTTGAAATCCACACACAGACATAGACTATTTTAGTTTGGTATTTTGTTTCTTCACATTTAGAAACAGTGGCTGCTGAAAACGGGAACATCTTGGACACAATGTTTCGAAACATTTCCTCTAAAAGTTTTGATTCCGCATCGAAACATTTCAGAAAACGGCTAGTGCCACCATATTGGAAACACATGTAATAAAATGTTTTCTATTTGTGGCATACCGTTTCCATTTTGTGTCAAGAAACAGACACAATTATTAGAAACATTACCTAAAATGTGTCCAAAATGCTACTTGGGACAAAACAGGTTGGACAAAAGGACAGAGGACAGAGGGTGCTACCCTCTGTCCTCTTTTCTCCCAGGGACTACCCACTTAATACAATAATAATAAATGAGCTTAGGGAGAATGCTTATCTATAATACTAATATATAAAATCCTTAAGTGACTGACTCACTGATTAATCACGATCCAGCTCAAACTACTTAACGTAAGAAGCTCAATTTTGGCATACAGGTTGATTCTAGGGTGTAGAGGTTCGATAAGAAGGGATTTTTCGAAATTCCAGTTTCAAGGGGGTGAAACCACCCCTCAAATATTACAATATTTTTTATTTAAAAACCGGTCAAGTTAAGTTTTCGAAAAAATGCTTAAGTACGTATATTTTATTTTGTTTTACATATTTTAAGATTTTTTAAAAATGTATACAAGGTGTTTCGAAAAATCTCGTCATTGATTAATCACGATCCTGCTTAAAGCGCTTGACGTAAAAAGCTGATTTTTGGAAAACGGATTGACTTTAGGGTGTAGATGTTCGATAAGAAAGGATTTTTCGAAACTCGAATTCTAAGGGGGTGAAACCACCCCTCAAATATTAGAATATTTTTTATTTAAAAACCGGTGAGTTTTTCGGCTCTTAAACACGTATATTTTATTTTATTGTTTTACATATTTTAATATTTTTTCAAAATTTATACAGGGTGTTGACTGTGGGGTGTAGAGGTTCGATAAGGAGGGGTTTCTCGAATCTCAAATTCCAAGAGGGTGAAAACGCCCCTCAAATATTACAATATTTGTTATTTAAAAAACGGTTAGTCTTTCGGGAAAACGCTTGGACACGTATAATTTATTTTGTTTTTTTATATATTTTGAAATTTTTAAAAAAATCATACAGGGTGTTCGAACAAGTTGGGTAATTCATTAACCACGATTCTGCTTAAACTGCTTGGCGTAAAAAGCTTATTTTTAACGGATTTTTCGAAAGTCAAATTCCAACTACAAATGATTAATTCGACGCGAACGAAGTCGCGGGTACACGCTAGTATGATATATACTGTATACTAGAACCTTGATATATTATATTATTGTATTATAGCTGTGTCAAAAATGTAGCGCTGCATAACAATTTTAATTCTAACAAACATTGGAAAACAGAAACACCTTAAAGCCTAATATGCTTTAGTGTGTATAAAATATTATTTTTGTATCAAATAAAAATATAAGATCGAAAAATAAGGACGTGTGAGTTGGCTTGGAAATGAAGATCGATGTCATTTAAACAAAAATTACTTGTTATCGATCGTAATTTCCAAGCCATCTTGACGCCGTTTTTTTATCATGTTGTATTACAATATTGCTCTTGACAATGAAGATCATAAAATGAAAGAACTCAAAATTTAAGCTCAATTTTTTCCGTGATTTAAAAACAAAAAAAACTGCAAACAGAATTGAAGCTCGACATTGACTAAATTCCTTGGTTTTTATAACCTAAAAACCTCGATTCTTGTTACGTCATGCCATCACGGATTTTGTGATTATAGTGAAATCCCTGAAAATCCCCGGGAGATGGAAACAATAAGGGCCAGGAAAACGGAGGTGTTTGGAATGGGAAACGCTTTCCCGCGGCGCGGAAAATCAGAAATTTTTCGATGGTAAGACGAACGAGAATAAACGACGAGGTGAACGTGCCGAGGTTCTTGTGCATTTTTTATAAATATTTACGCCTTATATGGGATCGATTATTTAAAATGTTGTTGAGCGAGGTCGTTCTCGTTGGCACCACCGAAAATTCTCTGAATCATTCGTTATTTTACTTTGAAATTGCTTGCTCTTATTTCAAAATAATCAAATACCATACGATTATACGATGAAAAAAAATGGTGTCAGAGTTGGCTCGGAAGTGGAGATTCATCATCGATCCGCATTTCCCAGCTAACTCTAACGTCTTTTTTATGAATTCTGGATTTATAAAACTATTTAAATCAAACGTCAAATACATTTCTAAAATACAGGGTGGTCCGAACTGTATTCCGGAAACTTCAGCAGTAGATATATTCTGTAGATAAAAATAAGTAAAAAAGTTCGTATTAATGTATGTCCTAAAATGCTTGTGTAGAAAAAGTTTTATTCTTATATCGATTTTTGCAAATAATTTATGAAGCTATGTCAATATTTGGATGAAAATGGGTGTCTGGGAATTTGTTGACATGAGAAATTTGATTTGGATGTCAATATGACTCCTATTTGTAGAGGGCCAAACCTACATATTTTTTAACTTGTTCGAAGAGTAATACATTTTCGTCATATTTAATATTTCATATCATATTTAATAAGACATATTTTTTATGTAAAAACTCACCAAAATGTATATTTTTTCACTCAGTAGTTTTATACAGATATGAGCAAAAAGTTAATAATCTTCAAAACAGTTCAAAAACTTGTAGGTGGCCCCCCCTACAACTAGGAGTCATATTGACATCGAAATCCAAATTTCTTATGTCAAAAAACACCCAGACACTAATTTTCATCCAAATATATACCTTGGTTCAGAAATTATTTGGAAAAAATCTCAATATAATAATGAAACTTCTACACCCTGTATTTCCGAAACTAAGCATTTTAAGACTAATTAATACTCACTTTCACGACCTTTTTTCTCGATTTCAATTCGGCCCACTCTGTATACAAAAATCAATTGCTTTAAATAGATAATTAAATTAATATATATAGGGTGGTTCGAATTGTATTCGGGAAACTTCGGCAGTATATTCTGCAGATAAAAATAAGTTAAAAAGTTGGTACAAATTGAGTCCGAGTATAAAATGTATAGAAATTTAATTTTTATTTTCGTTTTTCCCAAATCATTTCTGAACTAAGGTCGATATTTTTTAAAAATTAAATCATTTTAATTACAAAAAGAATATAAAGTTTCTAATT